TATATATAAAGTTGAATGTCTGTTTGTCTGTCTGTCTGTCTGTCTGTCTGTCTGTCTGTACGTATGTTCCGAATAGAAAATTCCATTTCTGAACCGATCCGGACCAAACTTGGCACACATACACTACGGGCCCCGGCGGGTGTCATAGGCTACTTTTCGTCATCGATCGATATCGATTTTATCGATTTTTATCGATTTTTTGCTGAGTTCACCTACGGGGCTGGGAGTTGGCACAGGGGGGGGGGGTAATCGAGCATGCTGATCATCCCCAAGGGGGGTGATCAGCATGCTCGATTACACCCCTGTGCCAAATTTCAGCCCCCTAGCTCAAATTTTCAAAAAAGCGATAAAATCGATAAAAGTAATGGACGATCTTGAAAACTAATATTGTATTCGTAATCTGCATGCTCGATTACACCCCTGTGCCAAATTTCAGCCCCCTAGCTCAAATTTTCAAAAAAGCGATAAAATCGATAAAAGTAATGGACGATCTTGAAAACTAATATTGTATTCGTAATCTGCATGCTCGATTACCCCCCTGTGCAAACCCCCAGCCCCGCAGGTCAAACTTTACAAAAAAAATCGATAAAATCGATAAAAGTAATGGACGATCCTGAAAACTAATATTGTGTTCGTAATCAGCATGCTCGATTACCCCCCGTGCAAACTCCCAGCCCCGCAGGTCAAACTTTACAAAAAAATCGATAAAATCGACAAAAGTAATGGATGATCCTGAAAACTAATATTGTGTTCGTAATCAGCATGCTCGATTACCCCCCTGTGCAAAATCCCAGCCTCGCATGTCAAAATTTACAAAAAATCGATAAAATCAATAAAAGTAATCGATAATTCTGAAAACTAATATTGTATTCGGAATCCCCATGCTCACTTCCCCCCCCCCCCCTGTGCCAACTCCTAGCCCTGTAGGTGAACTCTGCAAAAAATCGATAAAAATCGGTAAAATTGACATCGATCGATAAGGAAAAGTGGACTGTGACACCCGCCGGGGCCCGAAGTGTATGCGTGCCAAGTTTGGTCCGGATACGGCGGAGCCGGGTAAGCCAGCTAGTGACTTATAATAACGGGCTAAGGGTTGTTTACGTCTTTTTGTACGTGTGTGTGTGTCTGTCTGTCCGTTACGAAATTCGTAGAGCGTGTTCCAGCAAACGTTCTAAGCCCAAATTTTGCATAGCGCATGCTAACTTCATGGAAGCCTAATATGCAAAAGCACGAATAGATTCGTTGAGTGGATCCCTCAGAAATTGCGCGCCAAACGGGTCCACCTGGCTTCTGTACCGCAAAATTCGGTCCGTATCACCACTTTTTGCAGAGTCGTGGATGAGTTTGGTAAGCAAATGTGCAAGCGATGGAGTTTAGCCAGAAAAGTGTTTGAAAGTTTACTACATAACGAAAACGGCGCCAAAACGAATTGGTTGTGTAAATGGTCAATTTGCCAAGGTTCTAGCTAAGCGTTTGAGAAGATTTTCGCACAGAGATGTAGCACACGGTTATCATTACCTTTATGGCGACTACCAAGTAATGACAAATCCAAAAACCTATTCGAATTTGCGTTTGTTTTCCTGCGAAAAGTTTCATCCACGCGAAATCACCGATCTCACGTGAAAGGACTTCCTAAATGAGTGGTTGTTTACATTTTATTCGTGGTAGTCAGCATAGCGCGGTGAGTTCCAGTGCCATGATTTTACGAGAATGAGTAAGGCACATAGATAGTAGAGCCAGTGCGAACCTCTGCGAAGCAGAGGTGACGCACCGGTAGTGTATAATACACTTTGAAGCAACTCTTTCGGTTTGCTTCTCTTTGTCAAATTCCTTTGGCAAAGCTGCAATTTTTGATAAGAATCGTATAGGCGTTGTCAAAAACAATATTTGTTTTTAGAATCTAGTCTTATTTTTGACTCTGTTGCCCAGCAGACCTAGTTTTTTGATGTCGCCAAGAGCACTTGAGCTCTACTAGAAGACTTTTTTGATTCTTGTAGGTTCATTTTTGATTCTAGTTTGATGAACAAATCTTTTTAGATATTTCCTTCATCAAATTGGCGGAAATTGTTGCTCTGCAAACTTCCATGTCTGCCATATTTGAAGTGGAGCCCTAGTGGATTCGTTGGGCGAAACTGAAATTACTGGCAATCTACAGCACATATTTAACCCAAACTGAGAAATGAAATATTATCCATGATCACGTCATAAACAGCGACATTGCGAAAGAAAGGAATGTCAAACAAGCTGCTAACATACATAGCTCTACACGTCATTTATCATCAGTAGTTCGGCGAAATAACTTTGAAACCTTTGCAAACGGTGGTCTTTGACAAGAAGATAAAATATGACCTGTGTTACGTAAAATTTGTAAGACGCAGTTCGCTAAGCAGCGGTGAAATGTTGACGTAGAAAATTTATGGGAAGTGTTTGGATTGTTGGGCTCTTTCCTATATAAAATGCGAGATAGTTTTTTACATGAAATAAACCTGCTGATTCTATGAGAGACAAAGTAGGGGCGTTGTAGTGGTGGTGCTGAGCGCCGCTGTGATCGCTTGATAAGTTCAAGCCTCTTCTCTGAGTCAATCAATCCTTCTTTGGGAAGAGGCGAAGAGTGAAACACAACATGGTAACCGGCTGACTGCGTAAGTTTTTGTAGAATTATACGCATTTTTCTATCCTTTTCGGGGTACCGTAGATAAATTTTCTCATTCGCCTTCTAGAAATAGGTTGCTGCCTGACGAAGGCGCAATATCTTTGAGCGCGAAGGCGTTCTATTAGCCGCAGAGCGCATGAGGAGAGGATTTGCAATGGTGAGGATACGCTCGCATTCGCGCCCGCTCAGCTAATACTGCTTCTGCGTCTTCGTCATGCAGCAGCCTTTACACGGTTAAGTAAAGCAACGTTTAGGGCATAATGTTCCAGAAACATTTGAACCTCAATTTTGTATACTCAAGTAAGACAGGGATACTTAGTGCCGCATGCATTAACATCCCTGCTAAGGAGGAAACGCAGCTCCGAAAGCCCGTATTTTAAAGCTCTAGACATCTGGATTTCTCGCCGTCTATTAATACGCAAGTAATCTGCTACCTTCATTATGAACATATCGAAAAGGTCGGGAAGTTGTATTTACAAGCCGCATCTTCCAGCTTTTTGTATAATCCCCCGTTACCCGCCGCGTCCGGCCGTCTTTCCTTCAAAGTCATTTTCTTTCTTCGCAGTCAATAAAACGTTCCAAACTTGTAGTCATTACTTCACACAACAGTGCTAAGCATGTTTCTGATAAGAACAAATGTTAATCAAAATCATGGAAATTGCGACGAACCGCAAGTCGACTCAGTTGTTTTTATCAGAGACGTGTTTAGTACTATTAGGTTAGATAATAAGTAAAATGTGGAAATATTTTCCTTAACTCTGAAGAAGGAAAAATGATTCTAAAGAAAAACTGGTCGCTCGCCGGGGATCACAGGATCATACAAAAAAATTGGAAAATGCGATGTCCAAATTCTCGCTCCCGTTCAATATGTCAATAGTAAAGGCTAATAGAAACTCTTGCAGACGGATAGAAAGCGAGGAATCCAGATGTTTAAAACTTAAAAATGCGAAGCTTTCTTCTGAGCTGCGTTCCCTTCCTCAGCGGGGACATTAATTCACGCGGCCCTCAGTGTTCGTGCCTTTTGCGCACCCTATGTTAAAATCTCGCCTTGCAACGGATCTCATATATACAGCCACGATTACCAGATATACTTTCTTTGTGAGAAATGTGCAAGGTAGTCGAACTACCTAGCACTAGTTAATTTTTATCCTTGCATTTTTATTTACGCGAGTTGTGCCGCTCTTGTTAGTCTTCTCCATCCTTCTCAGCTCAAGGATTGCTGTTCATTTATCCGCAGTTCTTTCATGTTTACTATGATCTCAGCTACTGCAGTCTCCTTCTTCCTCTTGGCCATTTTTCTGATTTTCAATGACTAGGCCAATATCGTGATGTTTCTCCTCTCTTCAAATCAAGTGTCCATACCACCAGAAACGTCTTTTTCGCAACTTTTTTGCAACTAATGCGACTTTTATTACGCTCACGCGATGTCACTCGGAGTATGGTCCAGCAAGGCAAATCCTTTATCTTTATATCAAATCCTGTGGCCCATCTCAACATTCGCGTCTTTATTACACTCAGTCCTCCCTCCTCGCTGCGTGTACACGAAGCAATCGCTTTTATAGAGTCTCATCATAGTACCGCTGGAATTCTACAGTTTCTAGTAGTAGACCCTCTATCTAAACTATCAGTGAAGCGAAAAAGCGCTTCTAGAAAGCCCAAAATCCATTTCGGAAGTCTTCCACCCCGCCCACTCCTTACACGTAATTTGAAGCGAACGCGAACACACAGAGCTTCGGAAAAAGCTCATTTTTGCCTATTTCAAGCGCTGAAAAGCTCAGACCTATCTTCAGCATGGCGAGAAAGCTCCCAAGAGGTGAAAAACAGGAGAGCGAATCTGCAGGGACACTTCCTTCAAGGGCTTTCTTGTTTTCTTCACTTTGCTTCTTATAACAATCGTTCCGGCGGCGTGGAGGACGTCATTTATGTTACAGTTCTTCACGACCGTACTGCTTGAGGGTAGTTCTATTCGGTTTTAAGGTCTTGTTTCACTAAATTTTCGTAGAATATGCGGCTCATAAGACGTGTAGGACTTCAGAGCAATGAAATATGTCCCCTGTTCCTTCAAAGCACAAGTAAGTTGACTAGCGCTAAAAGTGTGCAAGATAATTAATACAGATAATTTGCAAGAGATAAGTTTGTCAAATCACATCATGACATATGGAATGATAATATAGCATGCGTCAAGAGCTTTAGTTGGAAAACCCACATTTTATTTTGTTGTGAATTGTGCAACGCTGTAAGATCAATGTACTGTTCTAAAATTCAAAAACAATACTCTAATAAACTCTGCAATAAATAAATAACTCTCCTAAATCTCAACAACAACAAATAAATAAGATACCCAGCATTACCTAACATCCACCTCCGCCATGGGAGTTACTTCTACATTATCATTACCATCAAGAAAAATATCTTCAAGATCAGGATCGAGGGGTGGCATTTCATAGAGATCCTCTAAAAGGTTCCTCTGAAACTCGGTAGGATCCTCCGGAGTTTCCGGCTCTTCAGTATTTTCATCATGAGCTACGATATCGTTTAGCTGTTCGCCAGTCTGGCTATTGTCTAGAGGTTGTATCTCCATCTCAAACTCGTTATCATCTCCGAAAGTCTTCACTCCAGGTCCAAAGCGGAGAGTACTATTTTCGGCTACGTTTTCGGGTTCGTCATCCCTCGCAATATTGCGATTCACTGAAAAAAGAAGCAGGATCGGAGACAATAATGACAACTCTGGGTACTTTTTTGCGTAGATTTTGGTTTCTGGATCAAGCTACTGCCTAGCGACAGTTCATTTAATTCAATCGCAGCAAAGAAAGTCACTCTTGACTCGTCCGTACCGTATACGGCTCTAGGTGCGGTAATGGACGAGGCTTCAGGGTAGAGTTTCCTGGTCACGAATGAATCTCATGGGCTGCCGCTTGACCAATCTAATTCGTCTATTTATCTATTTTTATACACTGGAGATGCGCCATAAAAAATTTCTTAGTCAATTGCTTTAAGCCGTTATCCGCATAAAACTCCCTTTACCCAGATCGGCCCAAATACTGCCTTCAAGTATATGGTCTCTTCACTTGCAGCAGACAAAAAATCGCTATGTGAGACTTTTCTTATCAAATCAAAATACTAGAGAACTAGATCGCCTACTCGGCGAATTTCTGCTGACTCATGTAGTTGACGCCAAATTCAAGTAACAGATTGATATCAAAAAAAATTTGAGTAGTTGGTCTAGCCTAAACTCACCGAAACTATACTGCACGATGATTTCAGCTGGTTTTTTGATTGATTTCAGCATTACAGGAACAACATTTGAATTGGCCAATATTCTTTTGTGTGTCGTTAGTGTACAACAGAATCTAAACAAAAATTGTTGCAAATTACGTAGAGACTACAATTTGAGAATCGTAGTCAACTTTTACCCTTGCATCTTGCAGACTTGAAATGCAAATTTTCGACAGCACTCTCAATTTCGAGAAAAGGCTGGTTGAAGGCAATAATGTTATAACAATTTCGTGGTATTGGAAGCACATGGAGAGCGGGAATTTGGTAAATTAGTTTGTGATAGAAGACCTTGGATTAGCTAATAAATAATTTTGGTTCCGCAACTTTCACAATTGCTGCAGGCAAATTTTTGTCCTTGCTCATTATTTGTGAAGAAGGCACTGCACTTCAATAAGAATTCGAATATAAGTTTTGTTCAGAATTTATTTTCTAATAAAAGGATCCGCAATGAAGTGAGAGACCCCAGTTTTCCCATTGGAAATATGGAAACGTTTTTTTCCAAAATCAAGGAGTTTGAAATGGCAGATCACAATTTTTATTTCGCTAATTAAGCAAAACATGTCCGTGTCCAAACACCAAAGTGCTAATCTTTACATCCATTACAGCACTGAATCGAAATTAAATTAAAAAGCCGCAGTACTGAGCTTTAGGAATTTTAGCTATGTTGGCAAAATTGTCCTTACTAATGATATATCCTATCTAGTTGATATGTGGTAGAAGCTTTAGACTAATTCCTCAATTGTTATGGAGAGTTTCATGCCAAAACAAGATTATTTTGGGCAAATCTAAGGCAAATCGAATCCAACAAAAAATCCAAATCCGATACTTAGGCATGCAAAGATTGTAGACATTTAGTTGTTTTTTTTTTCAATTTCACTCAATATCGTTTGAGCGATAAGCGGAATGAACTATGTAGCAACACATTTTTTTCTGAAAACTTTGCGAAGGTATTTTTGAGAATTCCTCGGATATCTGTGTGCATTATCAGAAGTGTTCTTTGAACAAAAATAAAAATACGCTTTGTGCCAAAAAAAGGTTTTATTGAAAATGAAATCTCTCCCAAAGTTCTTCTCGTCTCCTGCAGAAAAATATTACTTTTGAAGGGGTTTTGGGGTACTCCACTTTCGCCTAAATTTCTTTTCTTCAAGGTTTATACTAATTCCATCAATTCCAATCGCTCGCTTTGTCTGATTTGAAGAACATTGATGCGCTATAACCATTCATACTTTTCGTTCTACTTATTGGAGGATCTTACAGAAGTGTCATAACTTTGATCATTGTCGTAAAATGAGCATTCAAAAAATAAAAAAGGCGCAACTATTGTTTACGCTCAACTATTTTTTTATTCTGATGCTATCAATGATGAAACAATCTTGCAAAATACCGCAAGAATGCAAGTCAACTGATGTCATTTTTCAACTTTGTCGCATTCAAGGCGCGTGACTCATTTGTAGATCTTTGGTTGCTTATACACCTTTACACAACATCATGAAAGTTTTCTTCAACACAAAATGGCCGTCGTAATTGGAGGATGTTGTTTGCAACAGAGTACCAGCGTCCTATCGTAAACGAAGTTGAAAGCAAGTGGATGACCAAACAAATAACTCTAATTTTTGGGATGATCGGAAAATAATGACAGCCCCACTTCCATCACATCCCGAAATCATTGCTTCGATCAACAACAAGCAGGCTGCAGTCTGAACATTTTTGCTTTAAGAGACCTTCACCTATCATTTGGCTTCGAAGCATTTGGAGATGAGGTTTTCAAGCATCCCTCAAAGTTGCGTATCATGGAGTAAATGGCATATCATTCAAAAGCTCTTCAAGCTCTTCCAAAAAAGCTGCTAAGTCGCGAGAATTTCTCTTATTTCTAAGCGAGTAACCAAAAAAACTTGAGAACGGCAATACTTTAACAGTAGCAAATCACAGAAATATGTTCAAGCCCATATTTTATGAGGACAGATGCATGCTGAGGTAAGCAGCACTTTCGGAAAGAGCGTAAAGAGCTCTTCACATGGTAAGCAAAAGTATGTCTTGAGATGTAAAGAAAAAAATAAATACCAAGCACCTTTAGAGTCGAGGCTGCCAATTTATCTCCTCACTTGAAGCGCTGATACTAACAGGCCAAGGAAGGTTTGGTGACTTTCCCTTTACCCATAGCAGCACTAGTACTTTTGGATGGTCTCACATATTTTACTGCGCAGAAATCGCTCAGCTCTTTGCTTGGAGGTAGCGTCTCGGGAGAATTTCGCTATTCAGTTTTTAACCTATTCGGAGCCTTCTCGCCATGTGGAATCCATATCTGGTCTTTTCAGCGCTTGAAAATGCAAAATTGAGCCTTTTTCCAAGCTTTCCATGTCCGCATTTAGAGAAAATTTCGCAAGAAAGACTTTCGAAGACTTTCGCAACCGCTCACTCGTTTCGGACTCCGCCCAATTAAAAGTGGTTTTCACTGAATGCGGACTTGGAAATCTTTCAGAAAAGCTCATTTTTGCCATTTTTGTGCGCTAAAAGCCCAAACAAAAGTTACTCATGGCGAGAAGGCTCCGAAAAGGTGGAAAACTGGAAAACGAACTGAAACACTGCCTTTAAAATTGTTGTCTTCGCTCTCAGCAAGTATAAAATTGATTGCACATCTAAATGACCTTATACAAGTTTCGGCTATCTTATATATGAAGCTGAATGTCTGTTTGTATGTCTGTATGTCTGTAAGTATGTATGTCTGTCTGTCTGTATGTCTGTATGTACGTATGTTCCGAATAGAAAAGTCCATTTCTGAACCGATCCGGACCAAACTTGGCACACATACACTTCGGGCCCCGGCGGGTGTCATAGGCTACTTTTCGTCGTCGATCGATATCGATTTTATCGATTTTTTGCAAAATTTGAGCTACGGGGCTGGGAGTTGGCACAGGGGGTAATCGAGCATGCTGATTACGAATACAATAATGACAGGACCGGGCGGAGCCGGGTAAGTCAACTAGTAGGACAATAATATGTTCCATCATCCAGCAAAATCAAAGCATCTAATCACTTCTTTTTCGTAAGAAAACTGCAGTTACTCTCTAGGTGTTCCATTACTTTCCTATCACCCTAAAGTATACCGCAATGCTGGGTAAGTTTGTGCGGCTTCACAATGATTTGAGAAAAGCATCCGGACGTAAAAAAACCTTGCATTTTTACTCCATAAGGGAGACTGACTTTGGAAAGCACAAATTATTGGCAACTAAATAACCAGAAATTTCAGAGCAGAAGTCGAAATAAAGGTGCACGTAGTAGAGGAAGACACGAGAGTTATAAAATCAGTTAGCATTGCATGCGCAACTTTGGCTATCGTAACTTTCCGTTCTAAACGAAAAAGAATATTCTCTTACCTATTGCCTGTGATCCCCTTGTTGTTTCGAGTTTTGAACTCTGCTGCTTCTCTCCAACATCCGGGCATGCAAGTGCTCACAACTTTTTCAATCGTGAGATGAATGCGGGTTCCACGAGGGGACTAAAACAACGTTACTGAAACAGACGAATTGCTTGCTGCAAACAAGTTTGGAAGTTAAGTGAGGTAAGGTATGCGAATGCTGGCTCATGTTACTGTCAGGGCTCGTCACAGGTGGCTTAAAAGCAAGCTGGATATCGTTTTTGAGACAAAAAGTAAAGAGGATATCGTTTCTGGGGGTCTGAAATTGGGTTTGTTTAGCCGATTTCGTTTTTTAGTTGATTTGAATACTTCGGTAAGGGTCAAAGGGGACTTCGTAAAGTTACGCGAAAGACAGGGGAGACTTCGTTTTTTGCTTTTTGGAAAGCCGCCACGTCCCGAGCCCTGGCTACCGTTACTAATCCTGACATCTGCACTTTATGACTAGATAATCTTCATGGGTTTTTGGGCCCGTTATACAAGATTCCGTGCGTTTAATGGGACCAAATTCTATAGATTCCCCACAAAATGTACTCACAATCAGATGAGCATATTCTAAATTCTTTTTGTTGTCTAGGATGGGGATATCGTGAAGTTCAAGCGCTACTATGCAAATACTGCAACTTTTAAATATAATACAATATTTGCAGATTTATCATGGAATATGAGAAGGATAAGAGAAGCTTACTTAAAATTCAAAATTCGCAAGCTCATAAAGTTTGTTTTATTGAAGCTCGTAAAGCTGAAGGTTTACCGGGATTTTCGCAAGTATACAATTCATTTACCTGCTTCTTCTATTCTGTTACATATGCTTTCGAATTTTTCCTCAAGTTCCATGTCTTTAAAGACTAGACACTGATTCAATACTCTTTCATTTCACTCTGCTTGCTCTCTACCATGAAAATTAGTCGTATCTGTTCTCACAAATGTGCGCAATGATTGCGGAGTTTGCTGTCATAGAGTGCTGGCCAGCATCAAATATGTGAAAAAGATCGAACCCCATCCTCGAACTAGAAATTTGGACTCAACCTTGGCCGGCTGTACGGGTCATCGTTTGCTGTAGGAAAATCTTAGGGGAAAAGCGATCTTGCAAAAAAGACTAACCGGCCAATATACTTTGCGCAAGATTTTTCCTGGTTTATGAGTGGGGAAAACCCCATTATCTCTGCGGGACAGGATGTAGTCTAAAGAGAATTGCAGAGAGCGTTGTCTAGGCGGCATCTCGGGACATCCTTGACTTTTTCTATGAACTAACGATGCCGTTTTAAGTAGCATGTCATGTGATTCATTCGTAGCCGAGAAATTTATTCTATACCTCAGCCCAAACTGTAATCTTCTCAGACTACTAAGCGACCTTGAATAAGGTAAGAAGTAGGTTCTGGGCTGCAGTATACACTTCGCTTCCGTCCATACACAAATCATATGATCTGCCGCTTAACTCATTGACGAAATCCTTATTTTCAGTTGCCTGCCTTGTGGGACAATGCCTGCTACGGACAAGTCGGAAAATTTTCAGCGAGAATCACACAGATCGACATCTACAGTATACACACAGTAATCCTAAGATGCAGCGGAGAAGCGCGGATGTAATTTCGATTGTCACAGCGTAAGAGAACCTCTGAAACGATTGTATGCCAAAATAGTAGTAATTTCAACAAAATTCAAAACAAAAAACAAAACCAACAACATCATGTGGGTCATGTTGTCGTCAATGTGTTAATCCTTTGCTTACTGAGGAGGACACCAAAATAATCTAGCAAACCAAGAAGCGATGCATATCATTGAAGCGTCTCCAAACGCTGATTACAAATCTTTTCTTTTCTACGGAACTGCTCACCGAAGGAATTTACGAGCGTTAGAAAGTCTAATTTTGTCAGGTTTCAAATGGCTCAAAATTGGCTAAATGCTCAAAACAACACCAATGCGGACTTCCACCAGCTGTATTCCGTCCTTATAGTACTTGATACAAAATTAATAACCCATTTTCACTGTTTTTGCACAATTTTTTGCTAAGTTCATGAGATTTAAGTGGCAATTTTGGACTTTCAAACGCTCATATGTTCTTTCGTAGAGTTATTCTGCAGAAAGAAAAGCAGATTTGGAATCAGCGTTTGAAGATGCGTCTAATGGTTTACATCTCTTTTTGGTTTGCCAGATCATTTTGGTATTACTTCTTATCAGTTGAAAAACTCATATTTGTGAGGGGATATAACCTTCAAAACAAAAAAAAAATCAAAACATTTGACAACTTTTCGGATCACTCACCATGATATGATAGATGCATGTCCGAGGGCTAGTTCCTGCATTCTTTCTGGCTTTGATTTTCAGTCTCATGCGACGCGGTACAGCTTTTGCGTGAATTTTTCCACCACAATTACGAATAGAAGGCGGTTGAGGTTTACCACATCGTCTTCCTCCGTAACCGGATGGACATCTGAAAGTAAACAACTCTCTACCATGACACATTTAGATGTTCTTCGTGGCTAACATGCATATTCTACAGTCGTGAAAATATTGTATTCCTCCATTATGACATTGTATACGGGGACGGCATTTTGCTGAATTTTAATTGATTTAAGAAAAGCAATAGTCATCCTTGGAAGAGCCAAAAACAATGACCGAAATACCTGGGCAACCGTAATGGTGATTCATAATTTGGACATCTTGGAACGATGGTCCCGCCAATTGTCCCATTGCGCCTTGATCATTTATATTTGTGGCAATCATAGATGGCACTCTAGGATCAGTGGAAAATCTGAAATAAAATTAGAAAATTCTATGCGAAGAAATTGATAATTGACCCACTCAAATGGAGTATATTGCATGATGCTGCCTATGTCGTAAGCTGTACCGTATAGTCTCATGTTTTTTGGCCCTACCTGGAAATGGCAGAAAAATGGAAAAACTTTCAAAGTTAAAAAATTAAAAATACCTTTGCAAAATTGTAAAGTTGCGATCGAGGCACTCTATTAGGAAAAACGGTTATCCAATTATCTCGATCATAGCGCGATTGTTCATGGAATAAGCCAAGAGCGTGGGCAACCTCATGTGAAGTGATGCCGAACTAAAAAAATAATAAGTCAACGTATAATCAGCATTAGGATGAGCATCTCAGTATACAGTGCTATTGCTGTGTTTGAATTTATTAGGCCGCCACGAGAGTACTTGCGGAAAAACTTTTAAAAATCTGAGAATTCTTATTTCCTACTCTCAAAGTGAACGGGATAGAGGACATTGGGTCCACGCGAACATCTGCAACAAATGAGTACTTCTTTCTATTACAGCTCGTGTGAGCTGTCCGTGCGGGTGAACCTACTGGCGAATCATTGTACTCTACCTAGTTAGGAATTTTGCGCTTTAGGCCTCGGACAGAGTTCACGCGATTTGATCGCCGCTATTCAATGGCCGGGATTTCCATTCATTTTCATTTTAAATTCAAAAATTTCGTGCTGGAAAAGTATCACAACCGAAGTCCAAGCTGGTTGGCATGCAATGAACCCGTAACAGTTGTCTTGTAGCGATTAGATCGCGACGATCAAATCGCGTGAACTCTGCCCGGGCCTTACGCGTTAAAGCTTTTGCGAACTTTTTATTTTCGCATTTTACAGCGATAAAGTGACGAGATGAAGTTCGTCACACTCATCTACAGATTACTACATACAGTAAGAGAGACTTTTACAAACTTCTACAAACCAAAAACAAATGCTAAAATTCGATTCTGAAGTTCTTGATAAGAAAGAGGTTTATTAGCTAACCCACAAAAAAATCTTAATTTCTTACCCAACAGTAGTTCATACGAGACTGTGGCAGGCTTCAATCTTGCAATGCAAAAAAAAACTTGAAATTCGCTTCACAGAAAAACTTAATGCAGTGTCGCTGCAAAAACTTGGCTCAAGACTGGGAGTGTGGCCTAGTTCTTTCTTGCATATTTCAAATTCCATCCAGTGCCATGATCCATGTCAAGTCTAAGGCAGGTGCTATACTCCTCGAGGAGTATAGCATGGCGACGATCGATATGCATTAAATACGTGTAAAATCAGCGATTTTTGTCGCCGATATTGGCGATCGCCAGTCGCCATGCTATACTCCTCGAGGAGTATAGCGCCTGCCTAACGAGTTAATTACTCTCGTAACTTAATCCCTCTACCCTTAGTTTCTTTCCTTTGTACTAACATAACAGTTCTGACTAGACTATTTTATCATTATCTATGACTTAATAATAACGGGCTAAGGGTGTTTACGTCTGTTTGTCGTCTGTCTGTGTGTCTGTGTGTACGTCTGTCTGTCACGAAATTCGTAGAGCGACTTCCATCAAAGATCTTGAACTAAAATTTTGGTCATAGCACCCTATCAGCATGTAGGTAAACTGTGCAAAAGCAAAAGCCGATCCGATTAGTGGAACCTGTGAAAACTGAGCGCCAAACGGGTCCACGCGACTTTTGGTCCGCCAAAATCTGTCGGTAGTTGGGCTTTTTGCAAAGTCGTGGATTTGTTCAGCAAGTAAATCCGAAAAACATTGACTTCAGCTCAAAAAGTAAGCAGAAAGTCAATCTTTACACAAAATTGGCGCCAAAAAGATGTAAGTGAGCAAATTGTCGATTTGCCAAGATTTTTCTATAAAAATTGAGAGGATTTTTGAATAGATATGTAGCCCAAAGTGGTGTTTATCCTTATGGCGAATATAAAGCCAAAATAAATTGAGTAACCCATTCAAAATCGCATTTGTTTTTCTGCGGGAAAATTTTTTCTCCCAAAATTACCAATCTTACATGGAAAAGCACTAAAAATGAATGGTTGTTTACAATTCATTCGTGATGTTCAGCATAGCGCGGTGAGTTTCAAAGTCATTATTATGCGATCACGAAGAAGGCACGGATAGTAGAGCCAGTGCGTCACCTCTGCGAAGCAGAGGTGACGCACTGGTAACATATAAATGTGGGGGAATAATTGGGGAGGGGACCACCGAGCACCCGGGGAGTGCCAGCTCATCTGGAGTCATGCGAATCGGTGGTACCCGTCATTTATCTGCAGACTGAAATCTGTCACATTCACTTACAGATTATTGAGTAAAAGAAATTTCTACAAAGTTTTTGGGACCAGCTAGTGGCTCTACGGTATTTTCTGATTGTGAGACTAAACTCAAAGAACGAAATATTAAAGGCAGTGTCTCACCAAAATTTCGCTGCCGTGATTTTTGTATTTTGCAAGCCTGTCGGACCCTGTCTAGCACTGTATGTACTATACTTAAAACCGCACGAAGATCCCAAAAACCCCGTTTTAGGGAGGCCCCGCAGAAGCAACGTGGACGAGTTGTGCCTTCCAACTTCAGCCTCAGCCACAGCGGCAGCAACAGAGGAGAGGTGTTGGACAAGTGGAGGGACGTGTTCAAACGCGTAGAAGGAGAACCGAAGGAGTCGTCCACGCGTACCAAGTCGCTCTCCGCGTACCACTTTGAGCGAATTTTTCTCAGCGTGGAGGGGGTCAAATTGAGTGGGACTTGTTGCGATGGCCTATCTAGAGGTCCCCTATAATAGAATATGTGAAGATCCGCGCAACCTCAACTTTGGTGAGACACTGCCTTTGAGTGCTGTTGCAGAAGCATTGTTTTTCAGGCCATTCTACGATAAAGCTTCTAAAATAGCGTGGTAAAACAAACGTTCTTTCATTTCATGAATAGACAACCATGTTGGGCTTGGGTGAAAACTTGTTAGATTTCATTCAAATTGAACAAGGCTTTCGTTCCAACTCAATAATATACGCTACCGCTGTGGTTTTGAAATAGATTATGAAATGTGTATGTATGTATCATGTATAACAAAACAGAATGGAGTTGAAATGCTGCTCTCCAATAGAAAACCAACAAATAAAGTTTGAGTTTTGCAGGCAAAAGAAATGCTGAAAAAATAAGAGCAAAATTTCATAAGCGCAAGCGTAGAGTTGATTATCTCAACAATTACAATATGTTTTTGGCAAAACTTTCATGAATATGCTAATAATTTTATGGTTCGGCTACTTAATGGATTATTTTTTGTCGCGACAATGCTCAAATTTATGCACGTATTTTTCAAAATTGCTCTTATTACCCTTTTACACTAAAAGCATACCGCTTCGCATCCTCTTCCTATAGATACCAGTTGTTGCCCTTGGTAGGCATCACGACCAACTGTACTCCAGCATCCATAATCGTATCCAACAAATAGCAGGTATACCTGTAAATAAACATTTTTGAATGTTTTGTACTACCCTTTCAACAGCAAATGAAGAGGCTATGCAATTCTATGCAAAACGATCCTTATCTGGGTAGCTACATTTTCGCAAATCAGTTTTAGGAAAACACTATTTTCAAATTTTTGCGTTTACTTTGACCAAACTGATACGTAAAATGTGTGCAGCAGATTGGAGACAATGAAACTATGGTCAATCCATCATCGTGCGCACTTAGTGAAAGATTTTCGGGCGACCTTTGCTATAAACTTGGAGTCTCTATAAATGATTTTAGTAGAAAAAAGATATCACAAAAGCGATTATCTTGTTTATTCCAAAAAACGAGATAAATATTGATGACGTTAAATTATTGTTAAAAGCATTATTGAACCTAGAATTATATTTTTTTGAACCTTTTCTTTGGTCCTTCGACGAAAACGTATGCACGTCTTTTTCCTCCAGAATTGTATTGCGGCTAGTACAGATCGTCTCCCCCATGCATCTAGAATTATCCTTTTAATTATTTTCTTCATCGAAAAAAATCGAATTCTGTGACTCACTCATGCTTTTATGAAAAGCGAAAGGTACACCATCTTTCCATATCGTCGAAGGATAGAAACGATCGCGATAAGTCGTTCGTTTTTTACGAGTTAGCGATCCGCTTATCATACTTCTTAGCAGATGCGTTGGTAACCGGATATCTGCTTGATACAGAAGGTCCCTGAATTTTTCAATATTTTACAGAAAGTTGGAACGTCATAGGTCGAGCTGTCGCAAAAATTCTAGGTAAACACTCTGAAGAAAATCCCCGATGTTTCTAATTTGTAGGGTAGCATGACATAAGTAATACAAAAGGTTCCAAATTTCACTGAATTGTCTTCCTATTTTCCAGTTCTGACATTTTCTCAAAAATATATTCAATAACTTCCTAGAAAGTCGATCGGCACAACCTTCGCTAACTCAGTAAGAGTAGCTTATAAATCTCATACTAGCAATTGTTCCGAAATTTATTGCAAAGTTATTCAGGAACTCAGAAAAGTTGAAAGATGAATTCTTTTCCTGGCATCATCTTTTCGATAATCTGTTTTTTCTAAAGAATAGGTTACTGAGGTTACTGAGCACATGATTTCCCCTTTAAAAGAATTACAATCATAAAACTCAATTGTAATTCTTGGAAAGCTGTGATTTTTCGAGAATTGATTTGGCAGAAGTGTTCTGCCAACTTTAGAAATGTAGAATAAAATAACTTACGAGTAATTCTGGTTGAGCTGACTGACGGTCGGAGGACGTACTTTATAGTCAGGAGTAGGTTCAGCATGATCCTCAAATAGTCTCAATTCATTTGAAAAATGCAAGGGGGACACAATGTCAAATATTGAATAAATATTTGAGTTAATTAACAAGGACTTGAGTCGCCGTTGTTACCACAGTTTTCTTGTAACTATTTGGAAAAAATCCGCAATTATGAACTTCACAAAGAACAGCTTCCGAAAAAGTTCTACAAAATTCCTGCCTAGATGTTTTTGTTCCAATAAAAGAAGTTTCTATAGCTCTCTTAGTTCAGAGAAAAGCTGTAATATTACGGTATCAGAATGAGAATAGCTAGGAATAACTACATCACCTATGAAGAATGTTTTAATCCTTTGTTGTAATTCTTTGACAAACTCACGAAAGCAACGACTTTGTCCTTGTACTCGAGTTCAACAATATCCGATAGTGTATCACGCAGGGCAGTCTGTTCCCATGGATTTACCAAATCTCTGAGCTAAACAAACATAATTTAGAAACAACGAAAAAGCTACTTGCTGCGCGCAGCACTAAAGTAAGTATATTATTTCTCAAGACTTACAGTAGGCGGATTTGTTTTTACTACAGTTGCACATAGAAGAAATACTATGCCTATGCGGAACATTCAACAATAGTTCCACGTTTGGATAAGCCAGATGAGAAACTCAATATCCGTGCTGATAACAATCTTCCGCTAATAAATCGCTATTTTAGCAACAAAGGATGATCCCATTGATCCCGTGCGAAAGAAAGCACCTGCGCTGAAATCGTTTCCGCACTTACGATATCACGGCTTACACTTATATCTCTCTATAATCAATCTTTTGAATGTGGCTGATCATTAGGTTGTCCCAAAAGTAAATAGTTTTTCTGAACTAAACAGACTGTTTTTGTTTCCCAGCAGGGTACCATTCGATAAAATGAATCAAACAAGCAATGACCACCAAAGATCCACGTAGTATGTCGTAATCCAGGCAAAATTCATAAACAAAAATCAAAATTCTTCAGCTATTCTAAAAATCGGACCTCCTTCCAGAAAACTGTGAACCTTGAACTTGGTCATCATAGTAACTACATAGTAAAACTCACAAATACATTTACTGGTTTTTTTCCGCGGCTCAAACCCCAAAAAAAAAACAGAATTAGACCAAAAATGCACAACTGGGAGTTTCATCGGGTTTCTTTGTTCAAGCTAAGGTATTACCACAGTATACTTACTAAGGCTTGCAGTATACAATCACCTATGTGGGGGAGAAGATGGGAGGTGTTCGCCATTTTTGTACTCACTCTCTCATTTTTATGCGCGAAAAAAAATATAGCAACTGCATCTATGAACACTACTATGTAATTTCCGTGTCGCAGAAACTGCATCTATGAACATTACATACTATGTATTTTTCGTGTCGCATTTTTGGAGCCTCGTAGGTTTTTCGCTAAATCCAATTTTCAGATATTGAATTTGTTTCCGTTTTTGGTCAAACTTTGAAGTATGACTTAGATGGAAACCTTGGTGGTCATTATGTAGAATATGATTTAGTCTATGGAGTGGTACATCAGTGTCTGCTAGGAGAACAAAAACTCTTTATTTGGGAAAATGTTTTTCTTCGAAACAGCCTAGTAGTATTGGAAGACGCTCTTACAGCAAAGGTGGAAAGGAAAACATGAGAGTTGAAGTCATTCTTCCCCACTCTTTTGGTTTCAATCATGTTTAGTCTCTTATTCCCCTTCAATGAAGAAAATTAAAAATCGTCTGCTTATGTGACAAACAAAAAAGGAATCGCAATTTTTTTCTAAAATAGTTATATTAATTTGATTTTGAAAGCAAATGTTCGATCAGCAATCAAACAATAACCTCTCGATTCTCAGATATTCTTCCAACTGCTGTCCCATTGCACTTTACGTTATAAGAGTCTTAGAAAGTGCGTGCTTGTCCTATGAGAGTTAGCGACTCTGCCAGCACACCAAGACTAAATACCGATTTATAAGAAACAGTTAGCAACGTTTGATAATTTGAGAAATTGAGTAACGTTTGCTGTTTTGGTAAGTGAAGAACAACGATTCTGCCAGAAAAATGACCAAAGCTTTGCTTTATCTGCTCAATTTTTTTAACGAGGAAAGTCAAGATGCTAAGAAAAAGTGCAAACGCTCCATTGCTAAGATTTCGTTGAGGGATGTTATACAGTCAAGGCTCTGCACAGGTGGCTTACGGGACAGGCTGGACATCGCAAAAAGCAAAAGGCGTTTTTGTATTGTAAGGAGAGAAGCCCCAAAGAAGCTTATGTATCGGCTGATTGATGTATATAAATCGCCAGTCGCGTCTTGCAAAATTGGAGTCTCGGAAGTGGTGAAAATTTTTAATGAACCTGATCACGCAATCTAAGACTGGATTTTCATATGAAATCAAGCGAGTAAAAAAATTCCGAGGAATTAGCCAACTTAATGTTTATCAACCGAACATAATATGTGTGATCTCCACTCTCACGAACCAAATTTATCGCAACCAAACTTATCCTATCATATGAGTCGTACACAAACATACCCCCAAATTCCATCCCCTCTCCCCCCCCCCCCCTCCACGTTCACCACTCGTCTCTTTTATTCTGATCCTTATTTTTTTGGAAGAGTCGCAAGTGCTCGTCAATGCCCTACCCCTCAAATTCTTTGCACAAAAATCCTCAATATGCTCTCCAAGCGCGGGACTTCAAAAATGTGACGCGAAATTAACAAAAGGCTTGTTTAAAGCGAAAGGAAATGATATCACACCAAAATTGTTGATCATTAGGTTGGTATAGGTTCGCATGAATACTATGAAAAAGTTATGAAGGCGTGGCGAGCTTTTTTCGGAGTTAGGTGGCTATTGAGCCAACTGAAGAGCAGCCTGAGGTGGCTCAAAGAAAAGAAAGTCATAAACTTCTGAATTCAAATGAATTTTTATATCATTAGTTTTCTCATGGCCTTTTTTCTGGATGCTGCTATGTTATTCTTTGTTATTCATGTTTGTTTCATTACAGAATCACAGGGGATGCCATTCTTGTTGCGAAGTCAACGGCGACTATCAACATTCCAAAAAAAAAATTATAGAGCCACCTTATGGTAAGCTCTGCTCATAGAAGCTAAGAGGTTTATAATGATCCATCCAGTGGAGCTGCTAATATAGCTCGAAGCTTAGCTTTCACTAAAAGACGTTGGAAAAATTGGGAAAGTCCTGAGCAAATTACATCGGGAATTATACCGGTAGCTAAATTTTGGCAGTAAAGCGGATTTTGTTTGTTCGGTAACAACACTTATCTCACCAAGTTAACACAGAAGAACAATGCGCACAGTTTCCAAGCTGCGTTTTGGTTGAACCTTGGCATTGTTGATACGCTTCAATCTTGCTATGCCTACAGGTTTGCTAGGATGGTATATTTATTCAGATCGGCCTAACGTTTCGGCGCCTTCGCCATCGTCAGAGGCCTAAAAAGAACCCAAAGCATCACTCCAACATCAGACCATCAGATGTCTCCTCTAGCTTGGCTAATTTCGGCTTTGTTTCAAATTCAGTTCGCAAAAACTCTTCAGACAGAAATGAACCCACCGTTACACCACCGCAATACAGGGTGTCCCAAAAGTAAGTACACACTTTTCAATCGTCAATATCTCTCTTCCCATCATGTCTTTTTCCGCCATTTGAGTACCATTCTGTAAAGGAGGCTTCAACTTAGATTTAGATACCGAGCGAATCACCGATCCCTCTTCAATACTGTAAGATTGCTGTGAGAACTTCGACAAGGATTTCACGCCATTGGAGGCCATATTTTGCCTCGGAACAGAAGCAAACAAGCCAAAAACTCTTATGCTATGGTAATGGAAGCTGCTGATTTCGAATATGAAACTTTCACTTGACTGTGATGCTTCTTTCCTGAGTTATCCCAGGTGAACCGTAATAACCGAGTTCCCAGCATTTGTCGCAAATGTAATTACACTGTCAAAAAAGCTGAAAACACTCATAAAAAGTTGTGTAATGGAATCGGCATGCGCGAAAACCCTAGTACACGATTTTTCAGAACTTTTGAAAAAAATTTTGTCAGATGGCATATCTCGCAATGGTTCCACGTGCTGGAAGTTCTTACCGTAATCCTACAGTAACGAAAAGCGACGATGAATTGCTTCATACTACAAATCTAAGTTGAACCTCGCTCTACAGAATGGCATTTGAATGGCGGAAAAAACACCCAATGGAAAGAGAGATATTGACGATTGAAAAGTGTGTACTTACTTTTGGGACACCCTGTATGATGTATACGCACCGGAAAGAATTGACAGAGCGACCGGAAATGAGTGACAGAGAAGGGACAAATGAGGAACACAACACACAGAGAGCAGACAGAGGATATGCTATCTACTATCTACGGCTCATATAGTGCTACGAACGGCAGAAAGTCGGCTGTGATAGAAAAGCACTCGTTTTTATTATTCATTTCTGGATTCTTTGAGGATATCCAAAAAGATTCTAGTGCCTTTCTGGTCGAGATCTCTTTCTCATAAGTTAAGATTTTGCGTTTGACTCTGGAATCTGCTCCATTATGTGCTTCGCCTTTATGTCTTCCCAAGGATGCTGCTAAGCTCTGGCGTCTCATGTCTGCCAGATGTTCCTTTAGACCTACACTTAGTACCCTGCCAATTTCGCCTATATACAACGCGCCGCAGTCCATACATTCGAGTTGGTATACAACACCACTTTTGTGCACTCCCCTTCTTTGCCATACGGACACACTATGCATTGTTCAGCTGCACATTTCCCATCGTAAAGTCGATTTCGTACGAGCTGCTTTTTGATGATGTCGTTTGGTATGTTGACCAAAATGACTTCGTTGAGCAATTGTGCGCGAGCAATGCATTGGTGAGAGACCGCTGTGATCTTATCGGAGATGAATGGGAGGCACAATGGGATTTTGTTGTCGTTTCGAGTGACGCTGACCTGCACAAGACGTATATTTCGTGAACATGCTGGGTAACTGTTACTGCGTGCGATCTCTGAGGCTAAGTGTCGTGCTTGTCGGCGTTCATTCCCTCCCGAGCACACCATGGCCGCTGTTTTGTACATATTTCTGATTACAGCATGTTTAACGCTACTAGGGTGCGCAGACTCAGCATTGATGAGGATGTTTTTGCAGCTATCCTTGCGGTACCATTTCATTGTTACAATGCCATTGGTCAACTTGATAAGGGTGTTCAAATAAGGCAACCATCCCTCTCGTGGTTTTCGCGTGTGAGCTTGTTGTACTCGGACTGTTTGTTGAGGAATTCAAAACCTTTGTCCATCTCGGACTGTGTCGCCCTGATCAGACAACAGTCGTCGATGTATCGACAGTACATCATAGGCATTCGGTTCAACACTTGTTCTTCAATTTTGCTCATGAAGGAAATGGCAAGAATGGGTGCCAATCTCTGACCCATAGCAAGCCCTTGGATCTGGGAGTAATACTCTCAAGACCATCGAAAGACGTTAGAGTTCAAACAGGCGCCTACTAGGTTTATCACTCTTGCATTGCTTAGCCCAAACATATTGATGGTTCCGGCATGTTTGTCTAGCATTACCGATAATGCCTAAAGTTTGGTAGTTTTGAGCATTTGTGTAAAGTGCGGTAACGTCAAATGACTCAACCACACAGTTGCGATCAAGTTTTGCGTTACAAATTTGCTCAACAAACTCCAAACTCAACAGCGCGTTGTATATAGGCGAAACTGGCAGGGTACTAAGTGTAGGTCTAAAGGAACATCTGGCAGGCATGAGACGCCAGAGCCTAACAACACACTTGCGAAGACATAAAGGCGAAGCACATAATGGAGCAGATTTCAAGGTCGAACGCAAAATCTTAACCTGTGAGAAAGGGATCTCGACTAGAAAGGCACTGGAATCTTTTTGGATATCCTCGAAAAATCCAGAAATGAATAATAAAAACGAGTGCTTTTCTATTTCTGCCGTTCGTAGCACTATGTGAGCGGTAGATAGTAGATAGCATATCCTCTGTCTGCTCTCTACAGTATTCCTCACTTGTCCCTTCTCTTTCACTCATTTCCGGTCGCTTTGTCAATTCTTTCCGGTGCGTATCTATATATTAGGTCGTCCCGAAAGTATTTTCGTTTTTTCAAAGAATCGCCACGGTCCGCAGAAAAAACATCCTTAGAAGATCTTGAAATCATTTGATGCAGTTTTTTATGCTCTTTCAAATGGTCATCTTCACGTTGCAGTTTAACAAACTAGCTCTTAGAAAATAACCAAAAACTGCGACCCTTTTTACGAAGGTCAAGTTTCGCTATTTTTCTAAATTCTCGTACTGGTTCTCCGAAGAAGCCAAGTACCCTGCGGATAGAGCAAACCAAGTAGGATACAAAACAATTCCGCCCCTTCCAAATCTTACTTTACAAAATTTTTAGCAATATTTTTTGATGCAATCAAATTCTATATTTCGTCAACTTGAACCTCATAGAGCATCACTAAGGAAGCAACTCGGGTGTTATTCGATGCAGCATCTTCTCCTCTTTCAGAGACATGTTTTTGCTTCTGATTCGTAAGCTTTTAGAAAACAAAATCGACAAAATTCATGTTTTTGATGGTGCCCCAAGATGTACCCGAAAAATTCAAAATCTGATATTTCGAACCTGGAAACGCTCATTTGTCTTGTAAAATTAGTAATGAATCTTAATCTATCTTTAAGAGTATCAAAACTGAGAATTTCTTAGAGTTTGACGAGTCTTCGTCTGGTATGGGTCTGCTAAAATTCGATAGTGTTGTTTGTAATTTTGTCAAAAAATTATGGAGAGCTCTGGGAAGGAGAAAGAAATTGTTTTGTATCCTACTTGGTTTGCTCTATCCGCAGGTTACTTGGGCTTCTTCGAAGAATCAGTACAAGAATTTAGAAAAATAGCGAAACTTGACCTTGGTAAAAAGTGTGGGTCGCAGTTCTTGGTAATTTTCTGAGAGCTCGTTCGTTAAACTGCAATGTAGAGATGACCATTTGCAAGAGCATAAAAAACTGCATCGAATGCTTTTAAGATCTTCTAAAGATGTCTGTTCTGCGGACCGTGGCGATTGTTTGAAAAAAGGGAAAATACTTTCGGGACGACCTAATATATATTAGGTTGTACCGAAAGTTCTGTCGTTTCATTTTTGAAAATTTGTAACTTTGCGCTGTTCCAACGGATTTGCCTGTCTGTAATTTTATTAGAAAGAATAAGTCTTTCTCTTTCAAACGCTGTTTTGCGGAGCTTCTGTTTCACATTGGGTGCGGAGATAAAAATGGAAAACTAAGACCATGTAAAGTTTGACCATTTTAAGTTAGGTCACCAAAAATCTGGAATGCTGCAGAAAAATCTGAAATCGTCAGTACATATGTTTTTTGGCCTACTCTTTGCAACTGTAAAGGGATTGTGCTATTTGGAAGTCTTTGTAAGAAGTTATGAATATCGAGTTTACTGTGGAAAAGGCCAAAAATAATTAATTTGTCAATTTTCGCAAAAATCATAACTTCTCACAGAGACGTCCAAACAGCACAATTTTTCGCGGATGCAAAGGGTAGGTCAAAAAACATATGTACTGACGATTTCAGATTTTTCTGCAGCATTGCAGATTTTTGGTGACCTAACTTAAAATGGTCAAACTTTACATGGTCTTAGTTTTCCATTTTTATCTCCGCACCCAATGCGAAGCAGAAACTCCGCAAAACAGCGTTTGAAAGAGAAAGACTTAATCTTTCTAATGAAATTACAGGCAAACAAATCCGTTGGAACAGCGCGAAGTTACAAATTTTCAAAAATGAAACGACAGAACTTTCGGTACAACCTAATATATACAGGGTGTCCCAAAAAAATGTGCCTACTGTTTGATTGTAAATAACTCCCTTGTAATGTAGTGTTTCGAGATGGTTTAGGTACCGTTTTGTAGAGCGAGGTGAAACTTAGATTTGCAGTATGGAGCGAATCGTCTATCGCTCTTCATTACTGTAGGATTACGGTACAAATTTCGACGAGGATTTTAGGGCCGTTGGAGGCTATGTTCGGCCTCCGAACAGAACCAAACAAGCCAGAAACTCTTGTACTACGGTAATGGGAGCCGCTGATTCCGATTTTGAAATTTCCATTTTTCTATGATGCTTCTTTCCAAAGTTATCCCCGGTAAATCGTAATAACTCAGTTCCCAGCATTTGTCAGAAATGTAATTACAACGTCAAAAAAGCTGAAAACACTCGTAAAAAGTTGTTAGGTAGAATCAGCATGCGCGAAAACCCTAATACACGATTTTTCAGAATTTTTGAAAAAACTTTTATTAAATAGTAAATTTCACATTAAATCCATATGTTGGAAGTTCTTACCGTAATCCTACAGTAGTGAAGAGAGATCAGTGATTCGCTCTATGCTGTAAATCTAGATTCAACCTCGCTCTATAAAATGGCACCTAAAGCTTCTCGAAACACATCATCACAAGAGAGTTATTTACAATCAAACAGTAGGCACATTTTTTGGGACACTCTGTATAAAACTCAAAAATTGCCAGTTTGGAGGGTATGTGTTATAGAAACGCGCACCGTTCGACCGATTTAGCTGAAACTTTGCACACATATCGACCCCTGCGCAAATTATAGGCTACTTTTTCCGGCGATTCGTAGGGTCCTTCTATCGATTCATTGATTTGTTTACGTTTTTTGAGGGATTGAAGGCTTATCATGTTCAATCAAGCATTTCCCCATAATCAAGTAAAGGAGGGCGGTGAAGCTCATTATCACCTCGGGATCACGAGGATGCGATTTCGAAGCGGATGTGCCAGGGTAAGTCATCCATAACACGTAAGGAGGAGAGCGCTTGCAGTGCAAGTGAACGGAAAAAGGCCCGGGCTGGACCGGGAAAGCCAACTAGTACATCATATTGCGGTGGTGTAACGGTGGGTTCATTTCTGTCTGAAGAGTTTTTGCGAACTGAATTTGAAACAAAGCCGAAACTAGCCAAGCTAGAGGAGACATCTGATGGTCTGATGTTGGAGGTGATGCTTTGGGTTCTTTCTAGGCCTCTGAAGACGGCGAAGGCGCCGAAACGTCAAGGGCCGGGCATACTTCACGCGATTTCAGTCGCGACGCGGTTTGGAAATTCGCCAGAAGTCTTAAGATCCAGCACAAGTAAACTGCATATGCATAGTGTGTATAACTTACGTGGCCTGATAATATGCCCTATCTTCAAAAGGGTTTACATTGAGTTGTTAACAGTTGGAATATCGCCAAATCTCGTCGCGGCTGAAATCGCGTGAAGTTGTCCCGCCCTTTAGCCCGATTTGAATAAATATACCATCCTAACAAGCCTGTACGGCATAGCAAGTTTGAAACGTATCAATGCGCAAGTGTTACCACCGTACCCATCTTATCTAACAAAAAGTGAGAAAACTTGCTAAACATTAGTAAATGTGTTTGTAGTTTGATAAGGATGTAGTATTCGACGCTCACTCTGTATATAGGTTCATTCCTAGTCTCCTTCAATACAAAATGGGCCCTATTCCCGAAACCAACAAAGGAGACGTTGCAGGGTAATGTCTCAGTAATGTTGATAGCACAGTTTTGTAGAAAGACGCCGCTCAGAGCCTCGACGCCTGGTTTTAATAGAGAAGAAGGGGACGCTTCTGCAGAACAGAACAGAAAGGTTGCCAGTGGAGAAAGTCATCCACAGGTCATGCCATACCATTGGCAGAGAAAGAGTGCAATGGTGCAAAGCTTTTTACAAAGCTGACCTCAAAGCTCCCATACTTTTAGATTACCCCGAATAAAAGTGCCGAATCCTCATTCGCATTAGAGGGACTAGGATCTAAACCTTCAACGGAATCTACAGAAAAACCAAAACAAAGTTCAACCACTTCTAAAGAAAAAGAATCGTTTAATCCTGATCTAGACCACACTCAAGATGATCAGGAAGTGGAGAAGAGATCTGAGGTTCAAAGAGGTACCACTTACCAATAAAAGGTTAAAAGGGCAATTTTTCCAGAATATCGTAGCTGGACTGTGCAAAACTGATGTGCGTTTAAGCTTACACTATTTTCATTTTTAAGATACAGAAGTTGTTGAACATCTGCTCATTTCTCGATGTATGCTACTCTATCTCAGCAGATAAGACAAACGTATCCTACACTCGACATGTTGTCTAGAGCATGCCCAGCGCTATTCTACCAAATCGCAATCCCCATGTAACTTGGTAATTTCCCAAATGTCCGCAAATCCACCACTCTCGGCTATATGGATGCACAGCTTCTATAAGATAAACGTGTTTTTTGCTTTTGGAAGCGCTGAAGATTAGCTACGAACAACTGTAGCAATGCCGCATCGTGTCTAGACCAAAGTTGCTTAAAATGTAACTCAGGCCCAAGGTTTCGGCCATACATTATTGTCGCTCACCGCTGTTATGGCTGTTACTGCTGTCAGTGCTGCAGCGCTATTACTGCGGTATGACTCACGTTTCTCCATTTGGATATGGAACTTTAGTTGATTATTCCATCATTCAACAGCAGTGGCAGCGGTAACAGCGGTTATGTATAGAAGCAGCCTAAAATCCAAGACACTCAAACTTTGCCGTCACATAATATGAAGTGATTCCTCAATTCCTCGTGGACTGTAAATGCACAGTAAATAACATTCCTATAAATCTTTGCTGTGCTCCGCAATGTTGCCCATCTGGATTAGTCAAAGATACGCAATGTGTTCCCCCTATAATAAAAAAGGTGGTGGCTTTGTAAAACAAGATATATTATGTTGTTCGGAAATTAACGCCCGTTTTGAATTTCAACCGCAATAAATCATAAACTTCTCAATTTCAAATAGACTGCAAAGTACCATTCGATAGAGCAAATCAAGCTCTACAAGATGGCTTTCATTGCTTTTGCAATGACTCTTATCCACCTTGACTTTTAAGGTGAAAAGTAAAAAGACTCAGTTTCTCGAAAAATCGAGGAAAATCGTAACTCATTTCATAAAGTTCCTACTGAAATTCTTACTTGCTCACGTAAACACTGTCCACATAAAACATCTATATACGCCTTCGCCGCATTTTTCCCTCTGTTAGAAACCAAGAAAACGGGAATCTTCGTGCATTTGCCAAAGTGATGCTGTGCCGTCCCCACATAGGTAGTTGTATACCACAAGCCTGTAGAAGTATAGATTTAAATTTTCAGCTCTCTATAAGCTTTAGTTCTCAAAAAATACCGAATATAGCTTTCCCTAGTTAAGTGGTCCAAGCTAAAATTCAAATTTTTCGAAAACTAAAGCTTATAGAGAGCTGAGAATTTACATTTATACTTCTACAGATTTGTAGTAAACAATTACCTATGTAAGGACGGCACAGCATCATTTTGGCAAATGCAAGAAAATTTCCGTTTTCTTGATCTTTAACAGAAGAAAGAATACGGCAGAGGCGTATATAGATGTTTTATGTAGAGTGTTTAAGTGAGCAAGTAAGAATTTTTGTAGGATTTTTATGAATTGAATTACGATTTTTTTCGATTTTTCGGGCTGCTGAGTCTTTCTAGTTTTTGGCTCGAAACTCGAGGTGGATGAGAGCTGTTGCAAAAGCAAGAGAGCCATCTTGTAGAGCTTGATTTGCTCTATCGAAAGGTGTTTTGCAATCTACTTAGAAATGAGATGTGTATGACTTACTGCGGTCGTCAAAACGGGCATTAATTTCCGGACAACCTAATACTTCAACATTTGAGCAGGTCCTAAAGCGCCAGTGCGCAAATTGTTTCAGCAGAGTCTACTTGATAGTTGAAACCGCTAAACCCTAGTTTTAGGAGTACGGTACGCAGCTGTTCTATTTTTAGATTCGACCAGTTAGAACATACTAAAACATTTCGCGACCATAAGATCTCGTACAGTGCTACGTATTACCTAAGGGTACTGTGCGGCATAAGTTTTATTTTCCGAAACACAGCGATGCGGTTGAGTAGCTCGCTCAAAAAATCGGAAAAGGTGCGTCCTGCGTCTTGTACTTGCGAAAAAAAAAGTCCTGCAGTACTCGCAAAAATGATAAATGACATTATTCACATCCACGCTTATGCGGGTATGTTTGAATTCAAAATGTCTTTCAGAATTTAAAACCTAGCTCAATCGATATAAATCAGTTTTCATTCTTCTTTAATCATTACAATCTGCCTCCTCGTTTTTTTGTTTATCTCCTGAGAAATCTGTCACTTTCAGATTTATCTAGAAGGGCTCTCAATTATGCTTATCGGTTTAGCATTATTCAGCTTTCTTCACAAGCCTGTGGTTGCAATCATGAAACTCGTTTTTTCTGTGAGTATTTTTTCTTATATGACATCCGTACTATACTTCGGTTCCAGTAAATGAATGTTATCGAATAAACTCAAAAACTAAAAACTCTAAATAAATGAGTATCGATTAAACTTGAGACTTGAAACGAATAGAGAGTAAAGTAAAAATTGCAAATTGAAAAGAACGAACGAACATTGATTATATTCGAACGTTGAGGACCTTTCGGATAAATTTTCGAGTAATTTATCCGAGTGGCTAGAGACATTCGTATAAATTATTCGAATATATTGGGTGGGTCCGAAAGTTTTGTCATTTTTTTTCAATCCATCGGCATACACGCTAGAATGAAGATAAACAAACGCCTTAAAATGCATCCAATGCAGAATTTCTTCCTCTTTTTTTTCTAGATGCTAAACTCCCATTGTGTTTCGTTGCGAGAGTGACGAGATATTTGCTGGAAATTACAACCACTCCTTTTTACCATGTCTGACTGTCTCTAATTTTCAAAACTTTTGTATGAGACATTCGGAGGAGCCCTAATAACTAGCAGATAGGGCAAACCTTTTGCCAACTTATGCAAATTTTTTCTTTCTTACAGCTGCTTTTTCAGGTTTTCGCTAAACAATTTTCTAAAAGTCTTGTGTTTTGGAAAAATCGCGTAACCTATTGCACCAAACACAGCAAAACCTACAGAAAACTAAGGGTTTCAACAGATGATTATTACTACCGCTACCATTACAAAATAAATGAGCGATTTTCGCTTCAAATTATGAAGATTTTGAAACATAGGTTACGTCAGTGCGCACTCCTAAAGTTGACAAATACTGCGGTTTTTTCGACAAATTTCGTCTGTCTCAGCAAAATAAAACAAGTGTTAGAAAGAGGAGAAAAATTTGCATTGAATGGTGACTGAGCGGTTTGACATTTTGTGTTCTACAAGGTTAAAATGAGCCGAATGTAAAATTTGGCCACTTCAAAAAATAATTCGTAGAAATCGCCGTAGGGCTACAAAAAATTGCATCCGTTGGCAAATGGTTTGCTCTATCTGCTGGTTATTAGGGCTCCTCCGAAAGTCTCATACAAAAACTTTGAAAATTAGCGAAATTTGGAAATGGTAAGAACGAGTGGTTGTAATTTTCACCGAATATCTCTTCACTCTCGCAAAAAACACAATTGGAATTTAGCATCTGGAAAGAGGAAGAAATTCTGCATTGGATACATTTTTAAGCGTTTGTTTATCTTCATTCTAGCTGTTTGCCGATGGATTGAAAAAACGGTCGGACCCACCTAATATGAATATTTGAGTATTTTATATAAATAATCGAGTAAACAACCATATTTAAAGCGTGCTGACATAACCGGCCCGGTCGATGTGGCTTTGCACCAAACTCGAATGATCAAATACGAATTTCCTTCAAGTACAAATTCAAATGAAACATTAGAATAATATCTTTTCGAAATCTCAGTTTCCGATAATTTGTTTTTTTTTAACTATTCAAGATTTCGAATTTAATTCCTAAAACACTACGAGCTTAGAATTTTAAATGCAAATGCATTCGAATGTTTTATTCGAATGATCGAATAAGGGCTCGGCATGAGGTGGCTTTTTCAATTTCAAAAACGAAGCCCTCGCAGACTTCGCTACAAAAACACGACATTTAATTAATTTTTTTTATTTAATACGCTCATAGGCGGGCCACTTTGCTAGTAAGCAGCAAAACAACAGCGTCAATGAAATTAGTATAACATCAAGAAGATAAAAAAACCAGAAAAACATGAAAAACCGTTAGGTGATCTCGGAACGAAAAAAAATCACCTATGACGCGATCATGAATGGATCAAACAGGAATAACAAAGAATAATAAAACAAAACTAAAAAACATTGAACAGAAGAAAAGGAACTAAAGAACTTCGTATTCTCCGAATTGGCGGTATGCCGTGCCCGGCGCCCATCATTGTGCGCTTGGAGCAGGCTTGCCGCCTTCATACAAAAAATGTGGAGGGCTATAACTAGGCGAGGAGAAGGGGGTTTGGGAAAATTCAAGAACTTAGTTGTAGGGTTCTTGATGTAGAACAAAGTTATCTTGAACTCGTGAGGAGATGTGAAGACAGAAAAATATATGTTTTTTTTTCTTTTCACAGCCACCTCAGGTGGCTGTACACGTAGCTGGAAAGCCACCTAACATGAAATTTTTTTGCCACGCCATCAGTTCACAAAATTTTTTCATAAGTTTTCGCACATAGTTCTAGATCCCTAATGCCCATCTACATACCAATTTTGGTGCCATTTCATTTTCTCGTAGCTGTAAACAAGGCTTTTGTTTACTTCGGGCAGGTTTCTTGAATCCGCGCACTTAACCGGCGAACCTGTTGAAAACAAGAAATTTTTCTTTTATGCAGAAATGGGATCAATAAGGCAGGAATGACATCTGCGTCCTCTATGGAGGTGACATAAAAGGGTGAAGGTGATCGTGAGGGAGGGAAGGAGGGGGGGGGGGGGGGGGAGAAGGGCTGGGGTTTCCGCTTAAAACGACTCCCCCTTGCCTTTTACCCCAAAAAGGTATCCAGCTTGCCCCGCAAGCTACCTGTCCTCTTCTCTTTCTCAACGTGATGAAAGCTAAGAATGTAATACATGGTTGCTAGCTAGCTATAACATTTTGGGCTCCGCTCGATCACTAAATTGAATCACTTGCTTTTATCTTATCATGACTTACAATAAGCCGCTCAATCTGAAGCTGTATGGAGTTTGTTCGTTACGAAATTACTGTGAGGAATGATTTACAATACTAAGCATGTGTGATATCTGATAACGAGGGTACTTCATTTTCAACTAGGGGTTGCTCGCTTCATGCAACTCTGGAATGATGTGAGAAACAAGCCATTAAAGCATAAGTTCGCTGTAACACTTTCCGTGCTGACGTGCGAGCCTCTGCGAAGCAGAGGTGGACTTTCTGTGATGAGGCAAATGCATCGTTTGTATAATAGTATATCTGTGCTAGAGTTTTTTTGAATTTCTCATGAGAGCTTTCCTCAAAATCCGGAGCTAGAAAGCGAAAGAAAGCATGCTTGCGTTGAGTTGCTTATTCATTTTCATTGTATGGCGAGTGCGTGGTTGAATCAAAGTGCTCGTGCTCTACGTTTAATTTTCCCGAATAAAATACAAAATTTAACAAATCATATAAAAAATCAAATTCGCGATGTACTTACAACATCACAAAAATTTGTGGAGTGAGAAATCCGAGTTTTGAGGCTCAAAAGTGTGCCAACCCTATGGTGAGTTTGGGATTAGGTTGGCAACTAGGACAATTACAATTACACCAATATTTCTTAAGCATTGGACCGCACATTTACTGATCCATAAACGTCTAAAACCTCAAAAAGCAGGCATTTTCGGAGCCGACTTGTGCGCAGCCATTTTGAGCTTCAAAATTAGAGCAAAGCTTCCTTTTCAAACTTCATTAGGTCAAGCGCGTGGTGATGTCTCAGACTTTGAGATCGTATCCCTACCTAAATGTTCGAATGTAATAGGTTGTAGCGTTAAGCGAAAAAAGAGCTCTGATTGAGGTGTGTGTATAAATACGAACCGGTCAAAAAGTGTTTGGCGCACAAGGCTTGTCAAGAGTGGCACCAACTTTCACTTTTTTTAAGCGTATACTCTTTTCGGTTACGCTCTTTCACATGGTGCCTGTGGTTTCTTGCATTTCTTTCAAGAAGCTCTCCAAACTATGGGATGTTCTTGTAATTATGACCGATCTTTACATTAGCTTTTAGAGAAAATCACTTGAATTAACGTCATCTTCGAGCGATTCACTGTCATGCAATTTACATGTATCCAAAATCATCATCCTTTTCCAAATCTCTGAGCAACCTTCTTCCGCTAATATCAGCATGGTCTGGAAGCTAGTTAAATTATTTTCAGGTAATCTTGTCCATCAGTATAGCATTTGCTACAAGAATGAAAAAAGCACGAGCAATGGCTGCTGCGGAAGCATTTATGGTAGGTGATCTGTTGTAGAATCCTTCGCGTCTTCGAGTCTTTATAGGTGTAAGATGATCATATCCCTGACGTTGTGATTTGTTGGAAAAAAAATTACTAAAATTAGCATGAAGTTCTTTGCGAGAATGTTCTTTTGAAGCAAAAGCTTTTGAGATCTAAATCTGACGATTGCCCCTCTCAGTGATGCATTTCAAAAGCCTCACAAGCCGAAAATTACATAGAAAATGAGATGGATGTAGGCACTTGGTTGGTTGATTTTGAGATTCCCAAAAATAATCTTTGCTATCATGCACTGTTGTGGCGTAATGAACACCAATAAAGTAATGGGTTATTATTTGATAGCGCAAAGCAAGTTCTAGCAAGATGTAGGTCAATCGCACAATATTTGATGTGTAAGTTTGAAGCCAATTTTTGAAAAGCAGTAGATGCTTGAAAAGTTGAAAAAATCGTTTCTCTGTATAATAATTTCCAAGAAACTCCAAGTTGCTGGGTGTAGGGCGTTAGGCCACAAACTCGATTTTTTGGACCCCAAATAACTTTCCGTGCAAAACGTCTTCTCCGCCAAAAACAGGGGGGGGGGGGGGGGTTGCGGCCGATACATTACTCGACGCCATCAAAAAAAATTGCACATAGTTTTGATTTACGGGCTTTACGTTGATTGCGTTTTGCACGTTTTCTCGCCTAACGCTTGCCCTCCCAAGGCAAGCGTTAGGCGAGAAAACGTGCAAAACGCAATCAACGTAAAGCCCGTAAATCAAAACTATGTGCAATTTTTTTTGATGGCGTCGAGTAATGTATCGGCCGCAACCCCCCCAGGTGGTTGCTTTATATATAAATAGAACTCGTATCTCAGCCGTGAAAAAAATCCACCAATTGCACTTGTAAGTGTCTGACGTGGAAAGTTTATACTTGACCAAATTGGACTTCTGTAGGAAGTTATGGACGAAGATACGATTTCTCGAGTATTTGGAATTTGTTTTATTTTGGTTTCAAACTTTTCGCGAAACAAAGTTTCCATGAATGTTGGTATTCCATCTTATAGAGCTCTCTCTCTCTCTCTTTACAAAATGGCATCCTATACTTCTTTTTTGTTATTAAACCGGCCTCGGTAGCATGTAAAACGATATAATTTTTCGTACAATTATTGAGCATGCTTGTTTTTTAGTAAAAGCAAGAAAACTGGTGAGGCGTTTACACAATGAAAAAGGACGGACAGCAAGAGTTCTTAGAGTTCACGTAAAAATGAGGGGAAACAATCTTGTTTTTTGCATGAATAGTTATTGAATACAACACCAAAGGCACAATATACAGATAATTACGATCAAATAGGAAATGTGAAGAGATTTTGCTAAGGGACAGCACTTTTATGATAAATCAGTATATAAGTTTGTTCTTCAGAAGTCATTACATTTTTTTGAAATGCCTTCGCACCTGATTCAGAATTAACAAAGAATTACCTTTGCTCGAAGTGGTCGTTTGAGTTGAGATAAATTCTGCTAAAGTCGAAGATGAATGTTAAGTTCAGAAGTGTCATTTTCACATAAAAAGCAAGTTCTCGAAAAAAAATCACAAGTTCAAACCGGAAGGTAGACGAGCATTGAAAAGTTGAAAGTCCAGAACTTCCGACCAATCAGCGTGTTCGCGTTCCGGATACGGATGTCAGGTTTGAAAAGCATTTGATACTGCGTCTGGGGATGTTTGGCTATGACGTCTAATTTGGCCACCTTAGTCGATTGCGCGGATTTAAGTGTTAAGACGATCGAAAGGCAACCGCATTGAGTTTACAGGGTGCGCCAAAAGTATTTGCGTCAACTTTGCATAAGTGCTGCAAAAAAACTACTCATAGTTTTAAGTTTGAGTTTTATGTGGTAGAATGCTGCAATCATCCTCTACAAAATAGCGTTTTATGAGTCCAAGGTGATTACCATAACTTTGTGCAAATAATGAAATTGTCGTAGTAATACTTTTGGAAAGCGCAAAAACCTAATTTTTCGGTAGTTATATTAGGTTGTCCCGAAAGTTTTGTCGGTTTTACAAACCACTATAAAACCACGCACAATAAACACCTCAATGAGTTTAAACAAGCATTCGATGCAGCTTTTTCTTCTCTTTCTTATGGATGCAATCCCGAGCCACAATCTTATATGCTTTATTCAATGTTTGTTAAAATTCTCCATCCGCCAATTTTATCTGCTTAAAGTTCGGCTAATCTCTGAAAATTTCATTTTAAAGTTTCTAAAAAGGTTAGAGGCAGTGTCCGGGCAAAAGTCGATTTTGAGATTTTGTGCTTACCCGGGCCTATTCGCTATGCTGAATCCGAAAATCTACACTGGAGAGCGCGAAAACGGTGAAAAAGGCTCTAACACAGGGAAGAAATCAGAAGGTGGGCGGGGTCCTCCCCACTGCGAATTTACGCTTCAAGGTTTCGAAGCGATTTTCTCGAATCCGCTAGCCGCCCTGACATCACTATCGGTCAAGTGTGAACGATTGAATTGAAACCGGAATCAAAAAGGTCGCTCCGGAAGCTGGGAGCGTGAATTCCCAGCGGGGAAGACCCCGCCCACTTGCTCATTTCCCTCCGGCGTTAGAGACCTTTTTCGTCGTTTTCGCTCTTTCCAATGTGGATTTTCGAATTCAACATAGCAAATAGGCCCGGATAAGCACAAAATTTCGAAATCGAGTTTTTGCCCGGACACTGCCTTTAAGTACGATTCTAATAGAGCAATTATCGGACTATAAGTTTATATTTTTTGTTTCTGCTAAACTGCTGTTTTTAGTTGAAAATTATTTCTTAAGAGGTCTCGATTTTTGGCAAAGTCATGAAACACTCGACTGCAGCAAATACACGAAAGCTTTTGAAGTTTCTGCGAATCAAAACGTGATTTTTATTGAAGGTTATTTATGCAACATAAACAAGTTTGGTTTGCTGCAAAAAGCAGCTTTTTGGAATTTTCGGTACTTTTACGTGGTAAACGTAATCAAAAAGTCGCGGTTTTTATTAAATAATTAATTATAACGGACTTGGTAAACGTGGCCCACGTAATCAATATGGATAAAATGTAGCCAAAGATTTGCTTACCGTAACAGTTACCAGCGCTCTTTGCAAACATCAGGATAATAAATTTTGAAATTCAGGGAAGATTTGGCGTTACTGGTGAGCTGCTCAAAAAGCCATGGCGATAACATTGCAAAGACAGGGTAGATCAGAGAAGAAATATAGCTGTATGAAAGAGGATAAAAATCTGAATCAAATGGTACCTAGCTTGCCCATGGATTGGTGTTCTGTGAGTTTCAGTGATCGATGAAAAAAACCGACAAAACTTTCGGGACAACCTAATAATTCATTCCGTAACTGGCGATTGTTGAGACATTATCAAGGGATTTTATGTCCACAGTGTAGAGGAGGCTTTGCGCTGCTATCGAATCGTAGTACTTGCGTTCGCCAACACTAATTTTTCCAAAAATGGCAACAAATAGTACGCAAATGCCACCCGCGTGTCAATAGCCGTTTTGTTTTCAAATCACATTTGTAAGCTACAGAAACGTGCCTGTCACCGGATTCAATGCTATAGTGCTTTCATAAAGCTTCTAGGTAAATATTCAGTTCTTTTCCACTGATGAAATTGAACTCTAACCTGATTTGGAGTCAATTCCTGCTTTTCTTCCGCTCATTCGCACCCCTAAGGGAGCTTTCATACAGCGCCGGTTGCCGCTTTTGCAGCCGAAGTGCAGTGGGTCAAGCCATTGTCTCCCTGGCGCGCATATGGCGCGAAAACTTATAAAATCAACCTATTTTCCTGTTTTTTTAACTGTTTATTGATTTCTCTGTTATAAGCTGGTTTCCAGGTACGAGTTTCTGAATAATAGTTGCTCGAACACTTGAAGCATCACCGTTGAAGGCATATGCGCTGAGTATTGCCTACATTGAGCTGGAGTTTACAAAGTAACCCGTCAATCTTTTTTCCACTTTTTGTTGAGCTCAATTTTGTGCTATTTGTGAATGATGCGGTTTGAAAATCTGCATGCAATACTGAAGAGCATTGCACATGGACGAAGGCATGGAAAACCGCAACAATTACAATTATATACAAAATATGAGCGTAAATACGTTGATTACTCCAAGTGCTACTTACCTTTTTGTTTTCATGGTAAGTTCAAGTTTCATATTTGATGTGAGTGATGCGGTGCGCATTTGTGCAAATCCATGATGATGCATGCTTACACCATGCATCATCATGGATTTGCATAAATGCGCTTCAATATCGCACCCAGCTTCTCAACCGCAACAGTCACAAAAGAATGGAGCTAAAGCATAACAAAATTTGAAAAAAAACGCAATGAGCAGTCCGCCCTGTGAACTCCAGCTGAACGTCGGTAATACATAGCGCATCTGCGCTCAACGGTGATGTTTCAAGCCTTCAAGCAACCATTGTCCAAAAACTCGCACCTGGAAACTAGCATAACACACATATCAACAAACAGATATAAAAAACACAAAAAATAGGTTGATCAGTGAGTTTTCGCGCCATATGCGCGCCAGTGAGACATTGGCTTGACCTACTACGCTTCGGCTGCAATAGCGACAACCGGCGCGGTCTGGAAGCACCCCAAAATGTGCAGTTTTTGAGCATGTAGCAAACTCATGACTTTGTTCAAACGCCGATAAATTTCTTATCAGACCGTCCTAAATATTGCGCTTATGGTATGTTGCAGCCGAAAACCTGCTCTATATGTGGTGTGTTCCTTGCATCACAGGAGCATTTTTCTATAAAGAAGCAGAAGATTTTCTGAAAAAATATTTGCGAGTTGCGCGCAACTCAATCAGTAAGATATTTTGTGATTTTTTTCAAGCCACACTTAGAAATTCCAATTCATGCTATAGCCTCTCAATGATAAAACGTTACTGAAACAAAATAGCTTCTTGCCAATCGCTGATCTCGTCTTGCACGAGTTTCGCGTTGCAGAATACACGCGCAAATAATTTTGGCGCACCCTGTATA